ATCTCCATCTCCATGTGAGGTGAAGAAGGTTTCTCTCGATGGATTGGTGTTCCCATTCCTGGATCTTCTAGGGTTTCCCAGGTGAAAATTGAACTGGTATGGTGCGAGGAGGTAAAAAAACATGTTGGTGATCCAAATGGCAGAGGCACCCGGTGTGTCTAAGGATGGGTAGAAGTCAACAAGTTGGCCAAACATCAAACAGCTCTTTGATGTTCATCAAACTAGATGACTCTGACCCATCCTCCGACACTGGTTGCCTCTGCCATTTGGATCACCAACATGTTTTTTTTTACCTCTCCGCACCCCATCCAAGTAATAAAGCTTTGGTTATTGTTCATCCATTGTTGAATCTCAGTGCAGCCACTTCCTGTAGCCATGCACTCCAGTAGTGACAGCTTGGTTTGTCGTGATGGTGACAGCAGAGGACCATGCCTGGTCAATGTGTGGGTTATGCAGCCTCATAAGACAGTAAGAGCAGAATGAAAACTCCTCCTACAAGATTTAACCAGTGCTCAGCTGGACACTGATAGAAGTCACAAGACTGCTCTATACTGCTGATGAGAAAAGGTATTTAGCAGTTTATATTTACTAAAATAATTTCCATTTCCATGTTGTGTGTACTGTGGGAGACCGAATATAGTGAATGTGGGGTTCGGAGAGATCGGATATAGTGAATGCCGGGTCCGGGGAGACCAAATATAGTGAATGTGGGGTTCGGGGAGACCGAATAGAGTGAATGCGGGGTCCGGGGAGATCAGATATAGTGAATGCGGGGTCCGGAGAGAGCGGATATAGTGAATGTGGGGTCTGGGGAGAGTGTATATAGTGAATGCTGGGCCCGGGGAGAGCGGATATAGTGAATGCGGGGTCCAGGGAGAGCGGATATAGTGAATGTGGGGTCTGGGGACAGCGGATATAGTGAATGCAGGGTCCAGGGAGAGGGTATATAGTGAATGCAGGGTCCAGGGAGAGGGTATATAGTAAAAGCGGGGTCTGGGGAGAGCGGATATAGTGAATGCGGGGTCCGGGGACCGGATATAGTGAATGCGGGGTCCGGGGAGAGCGGATATAGTGAATGCGGGGTCCGGGGAGAGCAGATATAGTGAATGCAGGGTCCGGGGAGAGCGGATATAGTGAATGCGGGGTCTGGGGAGAGCGGATATAGTGAATGCAGGGTCCGGGGAGAGCGGATATAGTGAATGCGGGATCCGGGGAGAGCGGATATAGTGAATGCGGGGTCCGGGGAGAGCGGATATAGTGAATGCAGGGTCCGGGGAGAGCGGATATAGTGAATGCGGGGTCCGGGGAGACCAGATATAGTGAATGCGGGGTCCGGGGAGACCAGATATAGTGAATGCAGGGTCCAGGGAGAGCGGATATAGTGAATGCGGGGTCTGGGGACAGCGGATATAGTGAATGCGGGGTCCAGGGAGAGGGTATATAGTGAATGCAGGGTCCAGGGAGAGGGTATATAGTAAAAGCGGGGTCTGGGGAGAGCGGATATAGTGAATGCGGGGTCCGGGGTTTAGTAACACTTTAGGCCAACTCATTCCTCTCCAGGGAGAGGGTATATAGTGAATGCGGGGTCCGGGGAGAGCAGATATAGTGAATGCGGGGTCCGGGGATAGCGAATATAGTGAATGCGGGGTCCGGGGAGATCAGATATAGTGAATGTGGGGTCTGGGGAGAGCGGATATAGTGAATGTGGGGTCTGGGGAGAGCGGATATAGTGAATGCGGGGTCCGGGGAGAGCGGATATAGTGAATGTGGGGTCTGGGGAGAGCGGATATAGTGAATGCGGGGTCCAGGGAGAGCGGATATAGTGAATGCGGGGTCCGGGGAGAGCGGATATAGTGAATGCAGGGTCCGGGGAGAGTGTATATAGTGAATGCTGGGCCCGGGGAGACCAGATATAGTGAATGCGGGGTCCGGGGAGAGCGGATATAGTGAATGCGGGGTCCAGGGAGAGCGGATATAGTGAATGCAGGGTCCGGGGAGAGCGGATATAGTGAATGCGGGATCCGGGGAGAGCGGATATAGTGAATGCGGGGTCCAGGGAGAGCGGATATAGTGAATGCAGGGTCCGGGGAGAGCGGATATAGTGAATGCGGGATCCAGGGAGAGCGGATATAGTGAATGCGGGATCCGGGGAGAGCGGATATTGTGAATGCGGGGTCTGGGGAGAGCGGATATTGTGAATGCGGGGTCCAGGGAGAGCGGATATAGTGAATGCGGGGTCCAGGGAGAGCGAATATAGTGAATGCGGGGTCCAGGGAGAGCGGATATAGTGAATGCAGGGTCCGGGGAGAGCGGATATAGTGAATGCGGGATCCAGGGAGAGCGGATATAGTGAATGCGGGATCCGGGGAGAGCGGATATTGTGAATGCGGGGTCCGGGGAGAGCGGATATAGTGAATGCGGGGTCCAGGGAGAGCGAATATAGTGAATGCGGGGTCCGGGGAGATCAGATATAGTGAATGCGGGGTCCGGGGAGAGCGGATATAGAGAATGCGGGGTCCGGGGAGAGCGGATATAGTGAATGCGGGGTCCGGGGAGAGCGGATATAGAGAATGCGGGGTCCGGGGAGAGCGGATATTGTGAATGCGGGGTCCGGGGAGAGCGGATATAGAGAATGCGGGGTCCGGGAGAGCGGATATAGTGAATGCGGGGTCCGGGGAGAGCGGATATAGTGAATGCGGGGTCCGGGGAGAGCGGATATAGTGAATGCGGGGTCCGGGGAGAGCGGATATAGTGAATGCGGGGTCCGGGGAGAGCGGATATAGTGAATGCGGGGTCCGGGGTTTAGTAACACTTTAGGCCAACTCATTCCTGTCTATGGCTTCATTCTAAGCTGATCTTTCTACCTGAAGGATATTTCCGCCCCAACATCGAACATTCCGTGTCAGATGAAGTTCAAAGCACTAATTAAGCTTCAGTCTCATTATTGATCCTGCTGGTCCCAGAGCTGAGTTCCGCCGGCTGTAAGCATTAATTCTGTCCAGTCTGAACCTGTCATTACAACCCGTTCCCGGGGATTTCCCACCGGAGGGATCAGTGGGCGGGGCTGTGACTCTTCTGCTTTATTAGGGTGGCAGTGACAGCAGAACAGGGCACAGCGCTGGACTTTGAACCGCCGACGTAGACCATTGATGGGCTCATTGCCATGCTGTATATATAGTGATGTCTGGAATGATCTTTCTGCTCTGGAAGTGATGTTTACACAGGCATCTGTTATTTCCACGCGCCCCTTTTATCCCTCACACCCCCATAGGTAAAATATAAAAAAAAAAAAACCACACATCAAACACAAGCCGGTACAGAGGAGACACTTGAAGTGCTCAGCTGGGTGGAGGAAGAGCGGACGGCTCCCATGAATAAACCAATAGAGAACCCATTGATCACCTTCTCGCTGCTTTCAAACAACTGCAGACGCTCAGCACCAGATGTTCCCTCCACAGAAAATATCTGGAGTCTCCTGGCAACTAGTTTAGGATCTTCTCATTAACCCGAAGAAAACATGGAAGGTGACAACACACAAGGATGACGTCCCCATTTAATAGGACACTTGAATCTTTCTGCTGAAAAGAAGAATAGAGAACAGTTTAAAGTGTTTCTGGATGCTGTGTGAATGTTAGCGATATACTATATTTTTATATTCTTTTATACATTGTATCATATTTCAGACATCAAACAAATTTTAATATTACACAGATAACACGAGTAAATACAAAATGCATTTACAGCGCATCCAGAAAGTGTTCCCCGTCTATAAAGCGCATCCAGAAAGTGTTCCCGGTATATACAGCGCATCCAGAAAGTGTTCCCAGTATATACAGCGCATCAAGAAAGTGTTCCCAGTCTATACAGAGCATCCAGAAAGTGTTCCCCGTCTATAAAGCGCATCCAGAAAGTGTTCCCGGTATATACAGCGCATCCAGAAAGTGTTCCCAGTCTATACAGAGCATCCAGAAAGTGTTCCCAGTATATACAGAGCATCCAGAAAGTGTTCCCGGTATATACAGAGCATCCAGAAAGTGTTCCCAGTCTATACAGAGCATCCAGAAAGTGTTCCCGGTATATACAGAGCATCCAGAAAGTGTTCCCCGTCTATAAAGCGCATCCAGAAAGTGTTCCCGGTATATACAGCGCATCCAGAAAGTGTTCCCAGTCTATACAGAGCATCCAGAAAGTGTTCCCAGTATATACAGCGCATCCAGAAAGTGTTCCCGGTATATACAGTGCATCCAGAAAGTGTTCCCAGTATATACAGAGCATCCAGAAAGTGTTCCCGGTATATACAGCGCATCCAGAAAGTGTTCCCAGTATATACAGAGCATCCAGAAAGTGTTCCCAGTCTATACAGCACATCCAGAAAGTATTCCCAGTATATACAGAGCATCCAGAAAGTATTCCCAGTATATACAGTGCATCCAGAAAGTATTCCCAGTATATACAGAGCATCCAGAAAGTGTTCCCAATATATACAGCGCATCCAGAAAGTATTCCCAGTATATACAGAGCATCCAGAAAGTGTTCCCAATATATACAGCGCATCCAGAAAGTGTTCCCAGTATATACAGCGCATCCAGAAAGTGTTCCCATTCTATACAGAGCATCCAGAAAGTGTTCCCAGTATATACAGAGCATCCAGAAAGTATTCCCAGTATATACAGAGCATCCAGAAAGTATTCCCAGTATATACAGCACATCCAGAAAGTATTCCCAGTATATACAGTGCATCCAGAAAGTATTCCCAGTATATACAGCGCATCCAGAAAGTGTTCCCAGTATATACAGAGCATCCAGAAAGTGTTCCCAGTATATACAGAGCATCCAGAAAGTGTTCCCAGTATATACAGCGCATCCAGAAAGTGTTCCCAGTATATACAGCGCATCCAGAAAGTGTTCCCAGTATATACAGCGCATCCAGAAAGTATTCCCAGTATATACAGAGCATCCAGAAAGTATTCCCAGTCTATACAGTGTAATATATATATATATTACAGTATATACACTATATTGCCAAAAGTATTGGGCCAGCCCTCCAAATCATGTGATTCAGGTGCTCCAATCCCCCAAATCATGTGATTCTGGTGCTCCAATCCCCTCCATATCATGTGATTCAGGTGTTCCAATCCCCTCCCAATCATGTGATTCAGGTGCTCCAATCCCCTCCATATCATGTGATTCAGGTGTTCCAATCCCCTCCATATCATGTGATTCAGGTGTTCCAATCCCCTCCCAATCATGTGATTCAGGTGCTCCAATCCCCTCCATATCATGTGATTCAGGTGTTCCAATCCCCTCCCAATCATGTGATTCAGGTGCTCCAATCCCCTCCATATCATGTGATTCAGGTGTTCCAATCCCCTCCCAATCATGTGATTCAGGTGTTCCAATCCCCTCCAAATCATGTGATTCAGGTGCTCCAATCCCCCCAAATCATGTGATTCAGGTGCTCCAATCCCCTCCATATGATGTGATTCAGGTGTTCCAATCCTCTCCATATCATGTGATTCAGGTGCTCCAATCCCCTCCATATCATGTGATTCAGGTGTTCCAATCCCCTCCATATCATGTGATTCAGGTGTTCCAATCCCCTCCCAATCATGTGATTCAGGTGCTCCAATCCCCTCCATATCATGTGATTCAGGTGTTCCAATCCCCTCCCAATCATGTGATTCAGGTGCTCCAATCCCCTCCATATCATGTGATTCAGGTGTTCCAATCCCCTCCCAATCATGTGATTCAGGTGTTCCAATCCCCTCCCAATCATGTGATTCAGGTGTTCCAATCCCCTCCCAATCATGTGATTCAGGTGTTCCAATCCCCTCCCAATCCTGTGATTCAGGTGTTCCAATCCCCTCCCAATCATGTGATTCAGGTGTTCCAATCCCCTCCATATCATGTGATTCAGGTGTTCCAATCCCCTCCATTTCATGTGATTCAGGTGTTCCAATCCCCTCCATGGACACAGGTGTATACAATCAAGCCCCTAGGCATGCAGACAACAACAGTGCGTAGAGAGCTTCATGGAATGGGTTTCCATGGCCGAGCAGCTGCATCCAAGCCTTCCATCACCAAGTGCAATGCAAAGTGTTGGATGCCGTGGTGTAAAGCATGCCGCCACTGGACTCTAGAGCAGTGGAGACGTGTTCTCTGGAGTGACCAATCACGCTTCTCTGTCTGGCAATCCGAAGGACGTGTCTGGGTTTGGCGGTTGCCAGGAGAACGGTACTTGCCTGACTGCATTGTACCAAGTGTAAAGTTTGGTGGAGGGGGTATTATGGTGTGGGGTTGTTTTTCAGGGGGTGGGTTTGGCCCCCTAGTTCCAGTGAAGGTAACTCTTAAGGCGGCATTTTGGGCAATTTTCTGCTCCCAACTTTGTGGGAAGAGTTTGGGGATGGCCCCTTCCTGTTCCAACATGACTGCCCCCCAGTGCACAAAGCAAGGTCCATAAAGACATGGAGGAGCCAGTTTGGGGTGGAGGAACTTGACTGTCCTGCACAGAGTCCTGACCTCAACCCCATAGAACACCTTTGTGATGAATTAGAGCGGAGACTGCGAGCCAGGCCTCCTCCCCCGACATCAGTGCCTGACCTGACAAATGTGCTTCTGGAAGAATGGTCCAACCTTCCCATAGACACCCTCCTAAACCTTGTGGACGGCCTTCCCAGAAGAGTTGAAGCTGTTATAGCCGCAAAGGGCGGGGCCAACTCAATATTGAACCCTACAGACTAAGACTGGGGGGCCATTAAAGGTCATGTGCGAGGAAAGGGCGGGGCCAACTCAATATTGAACCCTACGGACTAAGACTGGGGGGCCATTAAAGGTCATGTGTGTGGAAAGGCCGGCAGCCCAATACTTAGGGCAATATATTATATGTATATACAAAATATTCTATACTGACACACTCATATAAACACACTACTGTGCACGAGTCCTATGCAGGTGAGAAAAAATCTGTAAATGAAAAATGCTTTGAGAATTCGAATTGTTAATCGTTTATTTTTATCAATGAACAAAATGGGAAGTAAATGAAGAGAAGAGAAATCTAAACCCAACCAATATTCGGTGTGACCGCCCTTTGCCTTCTTCTAGATAGACTTGAACACCATTTTTGAAGGAACTTGGCAGGTAGGTTGTTCTCTGTACATCTTGGAGAACTAAGCACAGATCTTCTGTGGATGTCGGCTGCCTCCAATCCTTCTGTCTCTTCATGTCATCCCAGACAGACTCCATGATGGTGAGATCAGGGCTCTGTGGGGGCCAAACCATCACTTCCGGGACTCCTTGGTCCTGCAGATAGTTCTTAATGACATTGGCTGTATATTTGGGGTGGTTGTCCTTGTGCAGAATAAATTTGGGGCCAATCACACGCTGATGGCATGATGGAGAATTGTATGCCTGTATTTTTCAGCATTGATCCTGACCAAATCTCCAACTCCATTTGCAGAAAAGCAGCCCAAATCTTCAAGGAATCTCCACCATGCTTCACAGTTGGCTGCAGACACTCAATATTGTACTGCTCTCTAGCACTTCACCAACCAACTGGCACACAGGGTTCAAGCATGGTCTGCTGTTGCCACTATCAGCAAGCCCTTACATAGAGATGATGTGGCTGACAGTAAGATGACAGTAAGTGGCTGAAAGAGACTACAAGTAATCAGCAGCTCTGAGGTGAGGAAAAAAAGATGAAAAAATGTGAAAAAAATGGCAGTTGTGTATGATACACAGGGCTTTTGCAGGTTCGGGGTTCCTTTTCTGAAAATGGAGTTGGAGATTTGGTCAGGATCAATGCCCCGGACTTGCAAGGAATCTCCACCATGTTTCACAGTTGGCTGCAGACACTCATTATTGTACTGCTCTCCAGCCCTTCACCAACCAACTGGCACACACTGTTCAAGCATGGTCTGATGTTGCCACCATCAGGAAGTCCTTACATAGAGATGATGTGGCAGACAGTAAAATGACAGTAAGTGGCTGAAAGAGACTACAAGTAACCAGCAGCTCTGAGATGGGGGGAAAAGATGCAAAAATTTGGAAAAAAAGAGAAACAATGGCAGTTGTGTATGATACACAGGGCTTTAGCAAACCAAATCTCATCTTCTTATATTTATTTTTCCTCAAATGCTATGAAGTACATTCTGTGCCCTTTGAGGCAGATTTTCGTGACCAAGCAGAATTTGGGCAACACTGTTTACTCTGTGATCACTGTCAGCTTGGCGGTGATCAACGGCTGGGAGTCGACGCGTTGTCTTGGCTTTGATCCCGGATGTGAGCTGCAACCTGATCGCGGCAAGAGCACGCTGCGCCCGTACAAGCTCGCCGACCTGGACCCGCAGGGAGACGCAGGTGTTATGCTATTTATGAAGAGTGAATGAGCAAAAAACAAAACAGCTGATTGTGAAATTTACAGCATGAAAAGAACAGTAGGAGGAGGGGAGGCCGCCGCCGCCGCCGCCGCCGAAATGACGAGATGGTTTACTTATTAACAACCTGCTGCCATGTTCCCCTGGCAACCCTCAGTAAAGGCAGCATTATAATTAGACGCAGATACATCTCGCTACATTGACTCCTCTGCTCCCTCCTATCCTGACATCGTTCCATGGTCGGTTATCTGGAGCCTCCATCATGGAGAGGAAAGCGGAGGCTCGGCATGGCAGGATTGCAGGAAGCACAGTTTGTTCCTTTGGTTCGGTTTATGTAATTCTAAGAAATTCGATATGTAATAACCTCAATCAGCCAATTATCATATCATTTATCTCACATTAATAAAAAAAATAATAATAATAATATAACAGCAGATCTGAATATTTAAAAATCTGCAGCTTTCAATAAAAGAATCCCTCGCGATCCTGCCATGGAGTTCCCTGTCAAGGCACTTCCTGTTATCGGGTGACAACGCTCCCTCCCTGTTTCCTAATTACGCTCCTGCGTTGTCACCCTGCCACATAGGCTTCCTGTGGTGGCTACAAGTGGTTGTTTTAACTGACATTCTGCATGCGTACATGTGACTACTACGGACCGCCCATTAAAGGCGATTGACTATGTAATGTCAAGTGACTCCAGAATATATGTTCTTGTGATGTGACTGTTAAGCCATGCCCTGAATTCCATCAGTAAAGTGCAGCAAGTCTACTTTGAAGTGTGGCACTCCTTCCTTGGGATATAAAGGTCAACGGGTGGGAATATAATTTGCAAGCCTCTGGCATGGACTGGGGCACAATATGGCGGAGGGTTCGACCTTGGCAGGAGAAGCAGTATTCTTGCAGGACAGGAGCAAGGGTAGGGACCTGTGCTACTTCTAACCAACCATGAAGCTCCTCTTGCATGCCAGAGAAAGGAATTGTGTTAGAGATTCCTAATGTTCTTCTAGACAAAAATGTGCCGTAACCCTAACAAAGTAACATTCTGCGTGCCTGGTCCTCTACTGTCATCCATCAGGAAACTCCCCCCTGAGAAAATGTTGACATGAAGTGGCTGCAAAAAGACTGCATGAGATCAGCAAAAAAATGCAATTGTTTGTGATGTACAATATTGCTTTTTTTCTATAAAATACTGAAAACGTCAATTGGATGACGAAACGCGTTGGGTGGAGCTTCGGCGTGCGACGTCATCACGTTCCTTTGGAGGGACGGCAGCCGTTTTCTTGGTTGGAAACTTAATACAAATGCTGGTAACCATCCATAACATTGTACCAGTAACTTTAAATTAAACAGGGTGAATTTATTACTCAAGATTGGCAAACGAAGGAGAAATGTGAAATAAGTATTTTTTAATACAAAATACAAAAAATGCAGCGCTAATCACAAACACAAAGTTCCAATAAAACATAAAAAGTTCCAATTTATAAAATCCCAATATTATTCCCATGATCCACCATCACCAGGACACCCGAATGTTTCAGCCTCGTACCAGAAATTCGGACAGAATTACACCGGTCAATATCGGCAACTCCAATGGGAGATGAACATATGAATCATGGAATCAGCAGTCCTCATCCAGGTTGATATCAATCTTCCCCTTTAAGAATCTGAAGTTGTTCCTAAAATAATACCCTCGTCCAATATTTAAGTAAAGGATAAAAGAACAAATCCACTCATAGTGTAGTATTTGAGTAATAAATTCACCCTGTTTATTTTAAAGTTACTGGTACATTGTTATGGATGGTTACCAGCATTTGCATTAAGTTTCCAACCAAGAAAATGGCCGCCGTCCCTCCAAAGGAACGTGATGACGTCACACGCCGAAGCTCCATCCAACCCGTTTCGTCATCCAATTGACGTCATAGTATTTTATAGGAAAAAAAGCAACATTGTGCATCTCAGACTGGATGTCGCTCTATTTTCTCAAGCTTAACCTCTCCAAAACCGAGCTTCTTGTCTTCCCTCCTGCCCGCCCCCCCCCCCCCCCCATCCTATCCATCACTACCAACAACAACCATCAATCCCGCCCCACAAGCCAAAGTCCTTGGCGTCATTCTGGACTCAAACCTTTCCTTCCAACCTCATGTCAAATCACTTACAAACACATGCAGGCTCCACCTTCGCAACATCCCCAAAATACGCTCCTTCCTTACCCCAGACACCACCAAACTACTCGTACACTCCCTGATTATCTCACGCCTTGACTACTGCAACTCCCTCCTCACCGGCCTACCCCAGTGCAAACTCTCCCCGCTTCAGACCATCCTGAACTCAGCGGCTAGACTCATCCACCTCACCACCCACTCCACCTCTGCCACCCCCCTCTGCCTCTCCCTCCACTGGCTCCCTATCGCCCAACGCATCAAATTCAAACTGCTCACTCTGACCTACAAAGCCATTCACAACACTGCCCCTGACTACCTCACCAACCTGATTCCCAGGTACCACCCTACCCGTACCCTTCGCTCTTCACAGGACCTCCTTCTATCTTGCTCCCTGGTCTCCTCCTCCCACGCACGACTGCAAGACTTCTCCAGGTCCTCCCCCATCCTCTGGAACTCA